TTTTCAGCTGTCTAAGGGTAAATGTCCAGAAGTAAAAAACTATGACAACCGGTCCGGAAATAACATTGAAGGCGACATTCATAAATGCACACTGCCAACACAGACGTGAAGTGTTAAACATTCATGTTGAGACATATAAAACACTTCAGCCTTTTTTCTGATTCCCGTACAGAAAGTATTATTTGGTGCCAATCCGAAACCGTCCTCACCTTGTTATATTAAATACTTGACAAAAAGGATTATGGACCTGAATTTTAGTTCAAGTTTCTTTGAAACATACAAGTCAAAAGCCCTTTAGTTTACCATTATTTTGAAACTTTGAAAAAGGCAAAATCGCAACTTTATTCAGGTAGGCTTTTCTTATTCTAATGGAGCTGGTTAGAATTGAGTAAGGGAGTGAGTACGGTTTTACAGAACTTATAGCAATATTCCAGCAATATCACAGCGAGGTACACCATGCATGGGTGTCACACATTGTACCCATTAAAAGATTTAGTCTTGTTCACCCACCACCCTTAAATTAGTAAAATCCCTTGGAGTCACTGAAACAATTTCATCTAAATTTGGTGATAAATCCTGATTACCAAATCTAAAATATAATGGCCAAAGATAATTCTGTTAATATCAACCAGGGACATATCTAGCCCTGCTCAGAGGGGGTATTCAGCCCAATGTCTGCAGCCCAGGTCAGTAAACATTTCCAAATTGGCATTAAAACAAACCCAATTCCTGCTATGTCTCATGTGATGGCTTGGTCACCTTGTAACTTACCGATAGGAAAACCATTAATGAGGGGAGGTTTACCATTTCACGATGGAATGGAATGTTAATATACAATGTTAAAACATCTCTGAATTAAGAAATTTGAAACAATTCCAATTTTGAACAAAATAACAATTTGTTTTCCCAATTTGCTTGCCAAGGGCTGTTAGTCTTGAATCCTAGATAATTCCCTGAACACCATTGTGTTTCTGAAACCCAAAAGGTAAGATCATTCTGACATAGACTGACATTTAGTCCCAGATATAAGTTTTCTATTTAAAAATATATACATTTACAAATAAACAAAATAAAATCCAAATTGAGCCCAGAACAATCCTTTATTTCAGGTAGAGCTGAGGCAATCTATACTTGCCAAATCATTCCAGACTCGAGTTGGACTCCTTTTTCAATTTATTCTCTAGGGTCTGGGAGACTGGCTTATTCTGACGATACAATACACAATACACAATATTTTGCTTTTCTGGTCTGACTTGCTGTGTTTGTTGTTTAACACCACACTCAGCAATATTCTAGCTATATGATGGTGGTCTCTAAAAAGGAATTGAATCTGGACCAGACTATCAAGTGATTGATATCATGAACATCGATCTACACAATTGGGATATGATGACATGCATCAACCAAGTCAGCGAGCCTACCCACCTGATCCGTTAGTCGCCTCTTACGACACGCATAGTCACCTCTTATGACAAACATGGGTTGCTGAAGACCAATTCTAACCGATCTTCACGGCTATGGGTTTTCTGGTTAAATTACATTTTGAATGGCCTGACAAAATTGATATTAACATTTTCAGGTCAGAAGATTAGATAAACAAGGAAGGACAAATGCTCTATTTATTAAGTATTTTGTTACTGATCTTCACAATCTTGCTCTTGTGTCATTGAAACCAGACTGAAAGTAGTTCCGGCACAAAATCTTTCATTTTTCAGATACAGACAGTATTTCCTCACTAAATGCATAAGAAACGCGAACCATAGAAACATATAGAGAAGTATGTACATAAAGAAGAGATGTTTCCAGTGTGTACCACTTAATGACAAAACCACATGTTATCACAGAGTGTCCAGCAGTAGAAACTAAACTTTTTAGTCCACTAGTCCTAATAATAACGACATATAGCAAAACCCTTAAAAAACGCAATTTTCTCCTAGTTCTTATGATAACTTAACTAATGGGCACTTGGCAAGGACTACAGGACTAGTGCCAATTTCGAACGCTGGGGTCTTCATTCTTATCACGATATGCTGCAAGTGATCTCAACGCTCACTTTACATGCTAATCCTGAATGAGACAAATGGTGCATCTTGAGTCATGGAGCTATGACGTCACAAGTGATACGTTCATGAGCGTTGGGTCACGCAACATAACAGTATGTTTGTTTGTGCATTGAACCATTCTAATATCTCTTGAATATGAGTAATTCTTTATATATTAACAAACGTGTGGTATTCACGTTTCTTTTGTCTGTGAGTATACACGATATTCTCCACAATAACATTCAGTATGGGCCTCTTGACAAGATTGTGTGTCACAAAAAGTATGTCGCAATAAAATATATATGTGAAATGAGGTCAGATATTCATTCACATACATCTGTTGGTAACACGATATTTGCCATTTCTGGTAGGTGTTTTTAGAAATATGTCATTGAACCCAAGTCTGAACAAGCAGTAAATTTTTAGCCATCAACTGTCTGATATATATGGTCATAAATACCGAGCAACCGCCTTAACACTGACATATTTTAAAAGACAGATCTTCAAAATAACCCCCTCACAAGATTAAAACTGTCATTTAGAGACATTGATGAAGAAGACGCTATCATTAATAATCTCATCAGAATAACTATTACCCCCTCAAGAAATGTTGAAGACGGAGTAATACATTTGCTGTAGATTAAGGGGAAAACTAATTGGTGATAGAAGAAACAGCAGGACGCAGACCACAGACCACTTTATAGTAATGCATTGGGAAGCCATACCTGAAAACTCAACATTCACTCAATTTAAACACTGTCTTCTGGATGTTTCATAGTGGGCAAAAATGGCTGAATTAATTTATCATTACCTTCTGTCAACATTGAACAGGCAGTTGAAGCTGCAGGATTCGGAGCTAGTTCTACCTTATATATTGATATAGCCGTCCAACCATGAGGATAGGAATTAAAAAATAATTAAATGATGATACCTCAGTGAAATTCTTGGCTGACATGTTCTTTTCAAATCTCACTTGACCCAGGAAGAGGAAAGTAAACTGACATTTCATTTGATCAGTATTTGAATTTGATTGATCAGTATTTTAATTCAATTGATCAATATTTGAAGTCCCCCTTTTTCTCCCCCTAGCTTGTACCCCCGTGAAGATACAGATTAGAATTGGTCTTCAGCAACCCATGCTTGTCGTAAGAGGCGACTAACAGGATCAGGTGGTCAGGCTCACTGACTTGGTTAATGCATGTCGTCATGCCCTAATTGCGTAGATCGATGATCATGATGTCAATCACTGGATATTGTCCTGGAATACTGCTCACTGTGGTGTAAAAACAAACAAACCAAACAAAAAACTTCTTCGCCCTCTCACCATGATTGACTGGGTTCTGGCTTATCTTAATGTCACAGGATCAGAGGTTTCTTCATGTGAAAGGTTAATGAGAGTGGCTGGCCTAACGCCGCTTGGAACAGTATTTCAGTTATATCACAGCTTGATGTGGGAGGAAAGCCCGAAGTGATGCAGGTCTCAGACGTTTACCACTTTGGTGAAACCCACAAGCACAGGTATGGTGCTGACAGACCTAGAAACATAATTTGGGCAAACTGGGATAAGAACACTTTATCAGAACATCCTGGCATGTCTAAGGGATGTAACTCAACACATCCAATGATACCAATATTGAATATGATGAATGAATATTCCAACACTGTTGCACATCATTATCTATGTATATGATAGTTCTTAGTCTTATTATTGATGAAGACTTTCTATTAGTCTGCTGATGAAAATGGGTTTTCGCAAATATTTTCATGGAGAAATAAACATATTTGAAGCAATATATATAAATTTTGTTCAGCTGTGAGTGACTTTCATCATTAGTCGGAGAAAAAAATTTGTGCAAACTTCTAAGCTCAGCTGAAAATTTTCCTTCCAATAATACTAAGAATTAAAATTATGCTTAGTGCCATGTTCAGATTGTAGACTCAATGTCTTGGGCACAGACTGGCCGACACACAGTTTCAGGTAACAAATGGCAGTCTGTGACTTAAGCCACTAGTCTGAAGACTGTGTCTAGTAAAATTCTGTTAGGTCTAGTAAGTTCAGCTGATTACAGCCCATGTAATAACACAAAATGTACTCAAAATTATGCTGAGAGCCAGGATCAGACTTAAATAAGACCAAAAAAACATCGCCCTGACTGAAATGGCATCAAAATATTTATATATATATGTATACTCCCCAGGAAGCTGAGAATAGAAATCGAGCACACACTGATCCACTGACCCGAGTAATAATGTCAGTGCTTTGAGCATGGATGGCAGCGCAATGTAACATTATCATACATTAATATATCCGTTTTTGAAACTTTAATGACACCCCAATAGACACACTGAATGAATTCACTTTGAGTTCTTTTATTGAGATGCTGATTTTTAACCACTACTACTTCCTCGGACGTGTGACTTCATTTTGAACACTTTCAGAGTAAAAGGTACAGCATTTTCCCTTTCCATAACATAAGTACCAACTTCCGTCATCGCGAAGCACTTCCAACATATGTATTAAGGGCTCAGAATCTCCCACCTCAACACAGATCTATCAGTGTTTTCACCATGTTCAGGTCCAGGGATTTCAGTAATAAACTAGCGGGTCCAAAGGCATGAAATGTTGGATCCTACAAGCTCCAATGTGGCACGTTTTTAAGGAAAGACATTAAAATGAAATTTTATGAAATAATAGTTTTATTGTAGTGCTTGCCATTACCCCAAAGTTCAAGGTCATCATAGACTCATTGAATCTTCAGTTCTTGTGAGCAAAAACTTTTATATATATAACTAGAGAAGTGCTTTGAAAGGTGGTGAGAGGGAGTTGGTTGGTTCTTGGTTAGTCAAAATGACCATAAAATATTTAGAGTAGGGTAATTTGGTCGGTCATACGAGCAAACAATATGTTTTTAAGTATTGGTAAATAATAATAAATTTTGTCACCCTGCTTATACATACCAAGTTTAGTGACATAGGGTCAGTAGGCGATATAACTGCCTGCAGCCTTGACCTCCCACCTCCGATTCCGACCTCCGACAGTGAGTCAAGTCATCACATCACATGGGCCGTTTTCTGAAAACAGAAACAAATACACTGGAATTGTTTTGGCCTTTCTCCAGGTCAGTGCTTGTGGTCGTGAAATGCAGAGAAACACTGATATATGATTTTATGATCCTCAGAAATACTACCGGGGATTTATGAAAAACAGCAACACCAGAGAGGCAGGAGGATGGATGATACCCTTTGTTTAAGAGTAGCCAAAGGTGTGGTAAGTGTAGCCCCAGGGGCTTGTGTGTGTGTGTGTGTGGAGGGGGAGGGGGGGGGGGGGGGGGGGGGGGGGGGAGAGGGGGAGAGAGAGAGAGAGAGAGAGAGATGAGGAAATGGGTATGTGTTTATGTGTTTAGTCTTGGATAAAATCTAACCCTTCTTTATAAATTCTAATCATTAGATACTCTTTAGTACCAATTCTACTGTACAACTTTTGAGTCTATCAAATAGTTATGCCCGTGCATGCAGTTTTTCTTAAAGTAATATTTACAATGGAAGCTGCACCTTATGATTGTTTGTGTGTGTGTTGTTTATCACCACCCTCAGCAATATTCCAGCTCGGGGCCTGATCGATGCAGACAATGCAGTGATCAACATCATGAGCATTCATCAAGGCAACTGAGATACAAGAACATGCAGCAAACAAGTCAGCGAGCCTGATCACCATTAGTCTCCTCTAATGACAACCATCCGCTGCCAGGGTGTGACCTTGACCTACAAAAGTGGGGGTCCTGGGGCACCCCAGCAATTAATTTTAAAGGGTCCTTGCAGGCAACATGAGTGTCCTGTGAAGTATCGTAATGGTGTTGTGTACTGTACATCTTGATCATTACTTTGAGCCTGGACTGAATCAGTGATCGTGTGGACAGTGGTCATGATTGATGGGTGAAATGACAGACACACCCGTAGCTGGTCTTCATGCGCTGTAGGTACAGTGAATATTATTGTGAGTCCCTCGGGATGTAGTGTACGCTTTTTTTTTTGCGTCCAAATCTCAACATTTGTGCATACTTGACGCACATTTGTGCATCTCGTAAAACCCTGGGTTGCTGAAGGCCAATTGTACCACAGATATTCATGGGGCTAGGTTTTGATGATGTAGGTTATCAAAGATAGAACTTAGGAGTTTTGGTAAGAAATGTCCCTTAGCAAAATTTAAATAACATTTTTTCTCAAAATCATAATCAATTTCCATCAATGACAATATCCCTCCAAACTACTCCAGTAGGACCCCCCAGGAACTATAGTTGTCATAAGAATTGGCTAGACAGGATCTGGTTATCTGACTCAGTGTCATCAACTCTTAGTTGTCTGCACTGCTTGCAGCTCATATCACTGGATTGTCTGGTCCTAACTCCACTATACAAAGGCATCCATCACATAGTTAGAATATTTTAGCATTTAACAACAACCAAATCAAAATAAGGATTTTTCTTGCACTCTTTTGCCAAAGGAGGATACTGTGTTACAAATTAAATCATGATCAAAATTTGGTATTATTTCAGCCCTGCCAGATAATTCTAAATGTTTCATGTTAGGCTTACGATCATTGTAGTTCTGAGATCGTAATATTAATTTCCCACAATTCAGTTACTTGTGTCACCCGACTACATTTATCAAAGCTAGCAACTTGTTCAACTTGTCCTTTAAACATTTCACTTGCACAGGCACACCCAACAAAGACAAAACATCAGAAACAGATGAGTCAAATACAATAAATACTCGATAAGAACACTCGACTATTCATGAATTCAAGGTGTTCAAATATTTTATATATATAGTTTTATGAGCAAAATTAGGAATAAGATGCAACCATTTATAGGCATACCTTTTTATCTCAAGCTGAACACTGACGACCACATCTGATTTTTGTCTGAAAATTACGTCTTTGTAAAAACCTAATTTTCCTAGCCAATTAATTCTAGTCCTTCCAAAATGCTATCAGAATGAACCGGAATTACTAGCATTGAAAAGCCTGGGTCACAACAGATGACATAGCTTAAGATCCCCACCATTCGCCATTGTTTCCCTAAGCTAAACATGGATCCTGCTCTGTAACCGCTAATTGGGCTTTGTCTACAAATGAGACACTCCTGCACATGTGATTGGTGACTTATTCAGAATACAGACTATCACTTTCAAATGGCTATGCACTTTGTCTTCACCACCAGATGCTAAAATATACTTCTAACAACACACAGCTCCCATACATATCATCCAGTTTTGCATCAAATTAGGGAGAAGAAAAATATTATGATTTGGGGGAAAGGAATATATATGTTTCACAACGAGCAGTGTTTGAAATCAGTCTGTGACTTGAGCCACCAGTACAGTTCCTGTGTCTAGTAAACGTCTCAGTCTTGTAAGCTCAGCTAATCATATTCCATATAATAACACTAAAATATTCTTCAAATGATTAAAAGTGTCCTATTTGGGCTGGTAGTCTCTAAGGGTTTAGGTACAGACTGAAATACTGAAGGGATCCTGGGGTCCCCCTGGTTTGTTGCAGAAGTCTTTGGATCTAGGAAACCTCTAAATCTTTAAATATAAGGGGTCAAGGAGATCCTCATCTTCTTTGGAACACTTACTAGTTACTAAAAGCAGTCTGAAAGGTTTGACAATCTTTGTTGCACATAAGATATGTCAGTTGCAGCCTGACAATTTTATCAGTTATATATTTTTCACGAGGGCTAATGTCTTAATATTCAGAACACACAGTTTATCAGTTGTTTTATCTGCAACAGTGTTTAAAAAATGTGAATTTAAATATTAGCTGTTTTGATAAATCGTCATAAATCATTTGCAGTAATATAATGAATTGACAAAACAATTTGCAAGAGATAGCTGTGTATGTAGACTACAATAGGTCCATTGTACGTCATCTATTGCATCCTGACATAAATATGACTTACATACATAAATTCTATAAAACGTACTTCCGCTTCTTTGTTCTTGATACTTGCAACTTACATTCATCTGGCTACAAAGTTGATGGCAGTCTCGTGGAATATATCAGCTAGGAAATGCACACCTGGCTCGTCATGTTCAGGCCTTACAAGCACGTTTTCTCTTTGTCATATCCCCGCTTTTGTTTTACATTGTTTCGTACCCAACAATGTACAAACACCTTTTAGCATGGTCTTGAATACAAACGCTAAACGTCAAGTGTTCGTGATCACGACTGTCTCGCTGTCTCGTGGTGTCGCTGATCGCAAATTGACTGCATGACTAAAATCAGTTGTTAGGGAATACGTCACTAAGTTTACATATTTCAGCTGCGCCAGAACTCACCTCTCACAAAATAGCTTATTTTAAATCTGGTTACAAATTTTTCGTCACGTGACATCGTGTGGCAAGTACAGCCATTTTAACCCACGCGCCAGTGCATCAACCCAACTATGCAAATATACTCGGAGTCTAGACGTTTTCAAATTTAAATTGACTCGCTTTCGTGTCCCGTTAGTGTTAGATTTACAGATGCATCCACGTGAAAACAAGCGTTGTTTTGTGTTTTTAATTCTTACGATGTTCCTTTCGTTTGAAATCCAATCTGTACCTTATATTTATCAGTGTCACATTTGTAACATCGCCAAGTAAATAGTGATGTTTTTTTTTGTCAACTGTAGACAATTAAGTCTATTGCGTTGTTTTGTTTTAATCGTGCCAGCCAGAAATTTAAACCTCGATCTGTGGGTAGGCGATATATATATATATATATATATATATATATATATATATATATATATATATATTCCGTATTCACTATCGTGACAATGTATGCAAGAGGGAATTTCTATATCTTGAGCGCGACGTTGGTTTATGAAAGGTACAACCCAAAACGCCCTTTTATGTCAAGTATCAAACTTACAAATTTCACCACAACACGTGTTGAGAAGGGCAGCTTAATTTTATGAATTTAGCTTACGGAGACATACATATTTATGGAAGTTAGAAGAAATGTAATAACCGTCTCTAATATTATATTGTTCAGTCAGTTTTACTTTATCAGATTCGTTGTCAATGTGTTATTTGAATATGATCTATCGTGTTTGAAACCTTCATTTGAATATTTGATACTTTTGCTAAGAAATGAACATAAACAGGAAAATGGTATCATTTGATCGAAAAATGATACGTGAATGCTTCAAATTCACATAGCAAGTATTGAAATCTGCATAATTAACTGGTCGATATACGTTTTGCCTGTAGATGCCTTGATGGTGTTTAAATAAATGTTTGCAGTGAACATATTCATGGCCCTAGGAATAGTGCAGCCTGACTATTTAAGTGCAAGTCCCCCGTCCCCGTTAATTATGACAAGAAAATTGTCCATAACATGCTGAACTCACAACTGTTAATAATTTGGTCACTGAAAGCATCCATATTTCTTCAATAATTTATATATACCTTTCACTAACTTCATCCATGAAAATTTGCAAATTTATTTGTTCAAACTATTTCCTAGACCCACATATGTGAGTGAGTGAGTGAGTGTGTGTGTGTGTGTGTGTGTGTGTGTGTGTGTGTGTGGCACTCTCCTTATAAGCATAAACGAATTCTAACTCATCACAATTCCACATGATAAATACTCGCCACACACACACACACACACACACACACACATGATTTTCAAATGTTTTCAAATATTATGAATTCTAGTCGTGATTATGGCAGGATTTAAAATTCATTTCGAGTGCTGGAGATGGTCTTAACAACTGGGGAAGTTTCTTGTCATGAAAATACTTGTGGTAGACCTGTGAATGTGCTCGTCCTTTTTCACCAACTGTTGGTCTATTTTCATATTTTAGTTCCAAACAGGGGCGGACCTTTGACAATTAAAATAAATTCAAATGTAAATTAACTCACACACAACACACTTATATTTTCACCCACGATTTCCTCACCTTGTATGATCCATTAATATTTTTCTCCAACCCAAAAAACAGCAGGAAAACGATTTCAACATTTTTTTAATGTCATTTTCGTAATGCATATGCAAACACGTTGCTGAGTACAGTGATGGA